ATTTCATTGGATTTAGTGATTTGGAGTGAAACTGATGGTTTGGTAAACTTGTTAGCATGTTCTTTATGCGAGAGTTATCTGAATAACTCTTAATATGTTACGTCGTTACTGACATTACCAGGCATGTTAGTCATGTCACGTTAGTATACCGTACACTTATTCAGCCTGTTGTTCTCTATTTTATTTTTATTTTAAATTGCCTTTCAAGATGACATGTATGTTTTTGGTGTTGTGTTTTATCAAATAAATTTCCCCCAAAAATGCGACTTATACTCCATTGCGACTTATATATGTTTTTTCCTTCTTAATTGTGCATTTTTTGCTGGTGCGATTTATAATCGGGAGCGACGGATAATCCGAAGTGCAAAATTAGCAATGTCAAGGAAAGCGTTTCCAATAACATCATCTTGGCAGTTCCAAGAGCTGTGTATTGGTTGGAGGAGCCAATGTTAGCATGTTGCTAGTAGAAAGTGACATCATCATGGCCGCATGTGTACGATCTGCCGAGTGGTTCATGGAAAACGCAAGCTAGCCGATATTATCGTTTGATTTTCGGTTTGAAAGTCCATCACATCAAAGTAAGCGAGTATTCTTTGAAAAATCAAGTGCAGATGCTAATCAAGCATGAAAAGCATGGAAAGCAATCACTTTTGCCTTCATTTTTTTTTTTTTGCTAAACTAAACTTCCCAACATTAAAAAAAACCCCATCAAAACGAAACCATTTTGGCCATGTTTAACCACACTAGACTGAACATTAAACCAACACAGCTCATAAAAGTCTCGCTACACTACTAAAGGTTGCACGTAAGCGTTAGTGGGAATTGTTGCTAACGTTGATTTTACATCATAGAAGTGCATTTTGGGGACTATCCGTTTAATTTGGAGATTAAAATCAAGTCCGTGACATTTGTCATCTTGCGGACCAGGTAACTTTTAGAATCCCTTCCGGGATCAAGATTTGGGTAGCCTATTTGCATTTTTTCCTACAAGTCTCACGCTGTGGGTTTCATACCAGTCAGGCTGCAATGTGATTTCCTAAACAAAATGCTGACTCATACGTGGCAATTAGCAGCTCGAGCAAGTTGTTGATCTGATGTCGTCTGGCAAGGGGAAGCCCAATTGGACCCGCTGCGCAATCAAGAGGGACACGGTTGATTTCAGGGACAACATGGGAAAAGGTGGAAGCACTTTCACATGTGGAAGGCAAGCGTGTGCAAGAACACGACGTTGGCACTAATGGCTCTTCTTGGCTTTGGAGAAATGAAAACCATGGACCGGGACTGCGGAACCTACAGAAGAATTGACCCCTGGCCGGCCCTGCTATGCAATTCTAAAAACAAAATAAAACCTCGGAGAGAAAGGGTTACAACACATGAAACCCACAAATACTACAAATAAATAAGTTCAATACGGCTGTTGCTGGACTTTATCAACAATGAAATGGCTCCTAATGGGTGGGCCAGGGAGGTGTTCTTATAAGGATAAAAGAAATTTCTGGAGGAGTTGAAGCGTATCCTCGGACGGACGGAGGGCTCGGCCACTTGAGTGTAAATCAGCATTGGCCTCTTAGTGGCGGGAATATAAACTTGAGTGGCCGCTGAGGAATGCACTAAACGGCTCAAGCACGTCTTTATGGGAGAAATGAGCCTCGAAGGGGGGGTAGCACAAACAGAGGGGATCTCGACGGGACTAAGTGTGTGTGTGTGTGTGTGTGTGTGTGTGTGTGTGTGTGTGCGTGTGCGTGCATGCGGTAAACTGACAGGCAATGATTAGCCGAAACGGAGGAGGAGGAGTATGCGTGGGCAGAAGAGTGTAGCAGCGGTGGATGAAAAGAGCACTCGGGTCCGCATAAACCCAAAACGATCGATGCGTTCACTAATCATGCACTAAACATGTGAGCATTAGCATTCCTCAAAATGGAATGCGGGCAGCCGAAGCGTGTTGATTATATTTGTGGAGATATGAGACGGCGACGAGGAATATTACAGATCAGATAGATTTCCTCCCGAGTGACGGGCGGGAGGAAGAAAGCTGTCGCTAAGTGTGTAGGTGGATCAGCTTGCTCCCTGGTCTGTTTACTGACATTTATGGAAATAATTTCATACGCCTAAGCAAGCACCCTCAAATTACTGTATATTACAACCACAGCGTCCACATATGAAGAAAGTCATGCAGGCAGGGGTAGCTTTGCAAATCCTTTTCTGGAGGAACTCTTAACAGTCGACATCATCAGCACAAAAAAAGTTGCGGAGGGTTTTGCTAGTCATTTAATTTTTTTTTTTGGTTTGTTTTTTTTTAAATGAATACTGTCAGAGGGGTTAGAAAAGGCACCAAGTTATTCGCGACACAGAGTAACCACTCGCTTCATCGCAATGCCCGAGCTCCGCCACCCTGTTGTCATGGAAATGAAAGCTGTATTTGACATACGCACCAGACAGAAGCAACTCCCCACCCCTCCGAAAGCCACACACACACACACACACACACACACACACACACACACACACACACACACACACACACACACAAATAGAGACAGGACAGGGCAGGACGGGACAGGACAGGACGGGATAAGACGGGACAGACAGTTTATGTAATAAGGCAGGGGTGTCAAACTCATTTTTGTCGCGGACAACGTTGTAGGGACAGTTTCCCTAAGAGGGCTATTATGACTGAATTTTGTAAAACCGTATAAATGTTTAATCACATCCACATATGACATATTCAGTTCACAACATATTGGTGGATATCTTGTTTTGAAATCAAAAGTCAAGACTCATGGTTTGTTCAGCCATTGTTTACATTAATGTAATAAGTACGTAAGAAGATAATGCTTGCAATATCTCTATGTAATGATGGATTAAATACGACAATTTGAAATTTTGATTCTGACTTGAGCAAGCATCATGGAAAAGTTGACCTACTTAATTTGCTCTCGTGGGCCGCACAAAATGATATGGCAGGCCAGATCTGGCCCCTGGGCCTTGAGTTTGACACCTGTGTAATAAGGGAACCACCGTGGGAGGGATGACTGTATTCGATGAACCTCAACGTGAGCCATGATTTGAATCTCAAACCTCCAAAGTGATAGGCAGACGCGCTAAGCACCAAGCCATAGGGCCAAAGCGGACAGTATCTATCTTCTTATTGACTCCATTTCAGCCTGAACAGGTCGAACAGGAAAGTGAGCTGTAGAGGCCTCCCTCCCTTGCACACATGGGTTGGACCGCAGCTTTGTATTACGCTATCGTAAGCTCCAGGCGCGAACTCGCAGTGGCTGGAAAATAAAACATACATCCCCTTCCCTCTTCTGGCCACACTGCGCAGAGCTTTGGAAAACAAAAAACAAACAAAAAAAAAGTGCAGTGATTCAGTTTTTGGGAGTCATTGGAAACAGAAATGGAGACTATGAGTCTTTTGTCCAAGCGAATGAGTCATTGTGACTATCCTGTTCCTTTGCACAGCTTCCCTCCAGGCAGCATTTTGGAATCACTTTTCACTCCTGTCATGCACACGCCCCCCCAATGCTTGCATTAAACAGAGCCGAATGATGTATCGGCAAGTCCGATCACGCGCTCGCTGCTCGTTTTTACATGAGCCCAGAGTGTGAGCAAGGCGCCGTTTGACACGGAAAATCTGGAATCCGGATCGGAGATTACACACGCTGCGCAAGCATGAAAAGATAGCGAGTAGGCTCGAGAGATATAGCCCTTTGTTGAATAAAACATCCAGAGAACAATCTCATGTCGCACTGCAAACTGCATCCGCAGCAAAAAAACAAAAAACACACACATACAAAAAAAGAAAAACATCAACAACATCAACAAAAAGAAGCACACCACACATCAACGAGAGGGGAGATTCTCTTCAAACAGTGACTGATTTCCCCACGGGCTCAACACGGCAAAGATGGCAGTCGTTCCCGAAAGGGAGCAGCTGTCATCCGTGCTGCTGACCTCAAACTTAAGTCAGTAATTGACACGTTCGGTTCCGACGTTCACATTTTTCCAGGAAGCCATTTTTCACAACAACCAACGCTGTGTGGATTTAATGATTCATTTGGTTCAGCTCCAACGTAAGAATGAAGTACCCACTTGCAGCCTAACCCATATTTCCCTCCGATTGCTACCTAGCAACATAACTGTCGGGTTGCTTGAGTGTGTTCAGTGCTTTACAGGCAACTATGAAATCATTGTAAATGAAATGACAACACTGGTTACTGTTGAATTAGAGAATCCTCGGCCACTTCAAAGTCAACTAAAGGCCTGATGGTTAGATGTGCCTGACAGATTATCCTGAGCAATTATCTTGTGATGTTTGGTGTGTTAAAAGTGATGTTTTTTTTTCTTAAGGAAGAAAAAGAACAATACAGACTGGAAGTGACGTAAAGTTGGCAGATTCATATTAGAAGCTGTAAATTGGGGTACAGTACAAACTGTACTGATAATCGGGGCCAAATTTGAGCATTTTGACGGTGTTGTGGAGGGTGTTAAATGATTTTCCCTCCCCAATAATGCACTTTGAGTTGATAATCGCAAATGCTAAACCTGTCCAATATTGACAATCGCAACGCTGAGGTTGACCATTCACCACAATAAAAACCAGAAGAGTTTGCTACCGCAGCGTCGTTCCCAGACAAGCTAACAGTTAGCTTAGCTTTTTAAATAACTTCGACTGCAATTCTTTTTTTGTATTTTCCACCACTTTGAATGCCCTGCAGCACTGTGCTGCCTCTCACAGGTCAGTCATGGTACTACGACAGACATCTGCTTTGGGAGAGAAGACTATTATTTCACGTCATGAGTCACGCAGTTTGTAAGAAGCATTTCTGCCACCCCCAGGACTGGAGGAGCATCGAGTCATGTTTGGGCTGCTTTGTATTGTGCGACTAAATCTGGTTCTTTACCAATTAGAAGGACTGCCTGAAGGGCACCCATATTGGATAGCTGTTTAGGACAAATACAAATGACTTAGCTAGAGGAAGACTTGAGTCACTCACCCAAATCTTTGGATCCTTGACTCTCGCTGGCCAGCTCGCCCATTCTCACCAGAGCGTCGAAGTAGCCTTTCGCAGCAAATGTCACATCTGTACCAAAGAGTGAAAGCAGTGTGCTTGGTGAGTTCAAAAAGAACAAGAGCCATTTTTGCAAATTTCCTTCCTCTCAGCTTGATGTCGGAACAAAAAAAACAACTAATCTGATGCTGCTGCGTGATTGTTCCCCATGTTGTTTGCATTTTGCTTTCCTGATTGCGATGAGATAATTATTTCCCGGCAGGTCGTTTTGCACTCGGAGGGGCCTGAAAAACTATTTTCTGTTTCGTCTGATACTGAATATATAATTAGGTGGGAAATTACAGTAGCTTATCAAATATTGTTGAATGATATCTTTAGGTTCCAACTTCAAATATGGCAAGGTCAACAATGTTTGGCTGAATAATGGGTGCTTGTGGAGGCTCTCAGTCGTACAGGAAAGTTCCATCGTAGAAAGGGTTCTGTCAGTCGTCATCTGTACTTGTGGGTAAAAAACAAAACCGGCTAATCAGCGGCGCGCTCAAAAACGACATCTGCGGGTTCTGGACAGTGTTAAAAGGCGAGCTAGCAGAGCAAGTGAACGGACGGCGTTGACACAATCCTATTGTCACGGTCATTCATGGACAATGATATAACTCCAAAGAATACCTTTTAAAAAAAAAATAGCATTTAAAATAACAGCATACAGTATTGTACCGTTTAAAAACGTAAACATAAAAGAGAATGTAAAGATCGAAACAGTTTTTCCTTCCCTTTCGCTGAACTTGAACTACTTGAATGTTTTTGACCTTTTTCGTCACACTTTCAGTTGCTTTTCCATCTTTTCGTGAACAGCCGAGAAATGATTTTCACGCCCGTTTCTGGCATGTATCGACGCCTTCTCATTCAGTCGAGCGCACGCGGTCGGAGTGCAGCGCTTGTAAACTTTAATGGACATCATTCGCGTCTTCTTCTCAGCACTTGTTTTCTTTGATCCCATAATTAGGAAAAAAAAAAAAAAAAAAAAAAAAAAAAAAAAAAAAAAAAACCCAAAAAAAAGAGAAGCGAAACGTCCTTTTTTGTTTTTTGTTTTTTGTTTTTGTTTTTGTTTTTTTTTTTTTGTTTGTTTTTTGTTTTTTACCCACAAGTACAGATGACGACTGACAGAACCCTTTCTACGGCTGAATAATGGGTGAATAATGGGTGATAGCAACATACCACGCGAGTTGCCAGTGCATTTCAATAGAGCTAACTTTAGCCTGAATTCAATGATTAACTCTGTGTATGAGTTTTCCTTCAGAAAAGACTTCTTTGTCCTCTTGCAGCAAGTATTTCATAATGTAGCCTAGTGGATGCTTGAGTGCATTCATTCGGGTCATTTGTGATTTGTGTCCTGTACGTCTGAGCACGTTGGGTTTGTCATGTTTGACACAAACCAAGCTAAGATGTACGCTATATTTGCTATTTCCGTTAGCCACCAACTGCCGAGTATGACAGTTAAGAATGGTTTGGCTCATCTGTGACAGATGATGTGTATTTAAGTCCCTTGGTTTGTGCTAATTGATCAAAACTGGCTGAAGCTGTTGACCACTTATTCCTTTCTTGCACACGCCAGCTAGCTGCCGACCACCTAGTATTAAAGTTAAAAATGTGAAAAAATTTTGTTTGCTCATCATTTGTGACCGTGTCATGTGTTTGAGTCCATCAGTTCGGACCATTTCACAAGACCCGAGTAAAGCTTAGCTTCTTGCGCTAAAGCTAGCTTCTTGCGCAAACCGGCCAGCCACACTCTGCCTAGCATGACAGTGACAATTTTGTGATTTTTTTTTTCTTTTTCTGTGACTGATGTCCTGCATCTGTGAGTCCATTGGTTTCAACTGTTTGAAACAAACTGAGTAAAGATTTTTGACCACCTTGTGAGCATATCGCTCTGGCCACCACCACTACACGATGTGACGGTTGCAAATGTTACAAAAGACTTTCATTTGGATCATGGATGATGGGTGTCATGTATTTGAGCTAATCTGTTTGTGTTGTGTAAGGACCACTAAAAAAAGATGTTGACTGCTATGTTAACGTCTTGCGCTAGCCACCAGCTCGTTAGCTGCCATATGCTTCTTCTTTAAAAAAGAAGAGTACTACATGCAGTTTGTGTTTGATCGAATGAAATCAACTGTTCACGTCATCTAAAATGTTTTAACATTTCGGGTTTCATTTGATACAAGTGTGACATGTTATGTTTTATAAAATGGTGTGTATTATAAGTGAAGACAGCGTTTAATGGGATCATCCTTCCATGGATAATCACGTAGTTGCGGCGCATTGCAGCCAAAGCGCATTGCAATCCGAGCTCACAGCTGTTCCCAACTCAGCGCTTTCCGCTTGATAACGTCTTGTTTTGACATCTTGTGATCGCACCTTTTTCTTGAATGAGCCAAGACCTCATGCATGCTAACAGATATGTATGAACGTGTGCAGGCAAGATGGAGGCTGAATGGCAAATTTACTCTTCAAGAGCCCGGTGACATGTGGTAAAAGCAGGTCAAGAGTCCAGAGAGGGGTTTGTTTGCTTCTTTGTATTCCCCCAGCGGCCAGTATAACTAACCTCCATTTTTTTCATCTTTTCCAGCCGAAGCAGAACAAGTGCACTTGGCCCTACAAAGTCATATCTGACGGCTGTTTGGCTGACAGATGCGTGGCCAATCACAACAGCTCCGGTGTAAGCGCTTGTTGAGAAGAGTTTGTCAGAGATATATGATTCAAGTCCTCTGGTTAGGATAGAGCAAATGAGCTGCAGCGTGTGTTTATTCATAGCAAAATTGGGGCACGGCATCTATGAGAGTGGAAGCCGATATTTGATCAAATATGGCAAAAATGAATCGATTATGTCTCTTCATTATGAGCGAAGATGTTCCCGCATGTGAAGATAACGTGTAAATAAGCTGGATCTACTGCATGAAGCTACTTTACTGCTGACAAATGCAGCGTGTGTATTTGTTTGCATGTGCGCGATTCAAAGAGACAGATGGAGGGGATTACTGGGGAGTTTAAATCGGAGGAATGGACAACAATGGACCTTTCGCAAAGCCACGCCCCCACAGAGTTAGATGAAGTGGAAGCGCTTGGCCTCGTGCTCTGTTGACTCCATCAAAAAAATAAATAAATAAATAAAAATTAAAAAAAAAAACTCCTGTCAATGTGTCGTTGCTGTCAGGCGGAAATGCCAATGTCCAAATATGGTCAATTTCTTATTTTGACGAAAATTGATACTATTCGTCTGCCCCCATGTCATCTGTTACCCTTTCTCCTCATTAGCCAATTTCGAGTGTTGAAAATAGTTTGAGGGCTAATATATTAACACTTCAATTGTCTGGTAAGTGTTGTAAAACTTAGCGGGAGCTGTGCGGCATTATGTCACCTCAAGACTTAAGTCTGGATGTTTGGTTACAGTTGAGTCAGCCCGATTACTGTCATGCTTTGGCGCAGAAGGAAGCACGTCAGCCACCAAGTAATAGCATGCTGGTGTTAGCCAATTGATCCAAAATGCTATTCTCCCATTGTGGGGCCTCGCCCAGCGAAGCAAACCAGGCTAGCCACATGCTCACTGCATTTGATGTAGGCCCATTCTTAAACAGACATTCTTAAACTGGCCAGCTTTCTCAACAGTAACTAAGCAGGGGGCAGGGTCAATTCCAGTCGTGGCACCATATGGACATAAAGGTCCCCCTTCAAATGAACCTCTTAGTGGCCCTCGGGTCAAGTAAATCTTGCAAAGTGGGTATTTAATAGCTCAGGGAGTCCGTGCCAGTCTGGCTCCATCCTCCCACTGTGTCCTGGATTAGATAGCGTATGTGTCAAGCAGTTGGGGGGGAAGAAATATAACAGCGCTCGGGAAGAAGGGGTTGCTGGGGAGGGAGTGGGGGGTGGGGGTGTTGGCAAGGCTTTTATTCGGGGGTGGCGAGTTTGGATAAATCGCAGTTGGCAAATTAACGAACAGACGACGGCACGATCACGTGTTCGCCTTGATTAATTTGTCTCCCCACAGCGAACTGTCATCACTTCACATTAGAGGTCCTTTTGTGTTCCTCTTAATACACCTCCACAACAGTAGAGAGGACAAAAAAACAAACAAAAAAGGTGGCTAGGCCTGGCCATTTCGGTAGCAGGATGAAAATTGTCCTTTTATAGTCAGACAAAAAGGCGAGAGGAGGTAAGATATATAGCGAAAGAAAGCCCCATTGGCAGAGCGCCTGAACCTGAAGTAGAGAATTAAATGGACTTACTGGCAAGAGCCTTCTCGTAGGTCTTCCCCATGGCAACAAAGTTCCGTAAGCAGGGGTTGAACTGCTCCATGATTGTCTGAAAGACATAAAAGACATAGTTGAAGGTTGCACGGGGAAGCCAAAAATTACTCTGAGCAAAACAGAATGATTTGGAGGCATGCATGCTCGTCAACCTATCAAGTGGGAAATTATCTGCCTGATTCTGAAAATGCCCTTCTGCACCACTGTTTATGCTACCCCGCCAAAAAATAAAATCAAATTAAAAAATGGTTTTCAATGAATGGGATTTTGGAGCCAATCACCGATCAGGGAGTTTAATAAAAAAATTTAAAAAAAAAGATAAATGATTAGAAGCTGAAATAATCTAGCTAATCTATATAACGTTTTTTTGTTTTTTTTTACTGCACAGTCATATCTGCGTTGTCTAACAAAAATGACAAAGTGTATATAAAAAGTCTACACACACCTGTTCAAATGCATGCTTTTTTTAAATTAAAAAAATTTTGAACGAGATATTACATTTCAAAACCTTTTCCACCATTAATGTGACCTACAACAATACAGTGGTACCTCTACTTACGAAATTAATATGTTCTGGAAGAAATTTCTTAACTAGAAAATTATGTTAGTAGAGACGCGTTTTCCATGTAAATGCCCTAATCCACAGGTGTCAAAGTCAAGGCCCGGGGGCCAGATCCGGCCCGCCACATCATTTCATGTGGCCCGTGAAAGCAAACCATTTGTGTCAACTTCCATGATCCTTGCTTAAATCTGTTCCGGAATCTCAAGTTGTCATACGTAATAACTAACAGTGACATTTTGCAATAATTCTGTTACCCTGTTTACACTCACTTAAGCAATAATTGAACAAATACATGACTGACTTCAAAACTAGTGAGTCTTTTTTTTTTTTGTGTACAAGTAATAATGTGATGTGATGATTAAACATTATTTTGGTTTCACTGTCTTAACGGCCCTCCGAGGGAAGACGTAACTCCAAAGTGGCCCGTGACAAAAATGAGTTTGTCACCCCTGCCCTAATCCGTTCCAAGCCCCCCAAAATTCAGACATGTTTCGTAAAGCATAAAAAGTATTTCAAAATATGTAACAAATACAGGTTACAATTAGATTATTGCACAATAAATTAGAGTTGTGCAGAATGTAAAAAACAAAGAATAAAGAATAAAAATGATGGTCATTTCACTTTTAACTGTGTCCTCATCGTTTTTTGTCGTCTTTAGTTCATGTTCTGTCTCAGAGGTGGTTTTTGCCTGCCGTTTTGTAAAAATCTGATCCAAGGACGTTTGCTTTTGTCAGCTTTTGACAATCCTTTTAAAATGTCCAAGGCAAACATCAGCACAGTGAGCGATCGCCCGACTGGTGAACACTTTTTCTGGGTGATTCACATTAACGTAAAACTAACGGAACACCTCATGGCCCAAGTTGCAAATGACGAGGACGCTGCATAGACTCAACTCAACTGTATTTATAGAGCACTTTCAAACAGCCAGACACCTATCTATCTATCTACACACATAGACACACACAGTAAAGGTCCCTCTTAGCCAATGGGATGCCAGGATGATGCTCGGTATTAGCCAATGGCAGAACAGCTACAAGTATGTTGCATTCAGGAAATTCAGAGCTGCGACTTGCAGCCCATAATGTATTTTTACCATTCGTATCTTGAAATTTCTTTCGTAACAAGAGGCAATATTTTCCCGTTAAAATGTTTCATAATTTGAAAATTTCATATGAAGAGACATTCGGAAGTAGAGGTACCACTGTATGTACAAATCAACTGAGAGGGGAAATAAAAGCTCTTTATGAGTGGAGGGGAAAAAATTGATAATGTAGTTGCACAAGTGTGGACACCGTTTGGTAATTGTGAAGTAGCAGTGTCCACCATTTAACAGATTAACCCCAACCGAGTGCCATATCATTTTTTCCCCCTTGAACAAGGGTTACAGGTTACAGTCCACCTTAATGGTGGAAAAAGTTGTGAAATTATTTACATTGGCCTTATCCCCTCCCCTCTGCCCCATCATGACCAGTTTGGTAAAGAAAAAAGATAAGAACCACTTTCGAGAATACCAACAAGGTATGCAGAGCTGCATCGAGTTCCAAGCACCCCAGTTTGAATGGAGGGGAAAAAAATTGATAATGTGGTTGCACAAGTGTGGACACCCCTTGGTAATTGTGAAGTAGCAGTGTCCATCATTTAACAGATTAACCCCAACCGAGTGCCATTTCATTTTTTCCCCCTTGAACAGGGGTTACAGGTTATAGTCCACCTTAATGGTGGAAAAAGTTGTGAAATTATTTACATTGGCCTTATTCCCCCCCCACCCCCACCCCATCATGACCAGTTTGGTAAAGAAAAAAGATAAGAACCACTTTCGAGAATACCAGGTCTGCAACACCAACAAGGTAAGCAGAGCTGCATCGAGTTCCAAGCACCCCAGTTTGAGAACCACTGATACGAAGACGACGGACACACACGGCTCATTAGATGAACGGAAGCTCATTCCCTCAAGCTTCATGTTGTTCTCATCACATTGCATATCGGAGCGCACCGCTCTTAAAATGCAGCGTGCGCGCAGCGCATCTTGACATCGGGCACCGTTTGCCGCTTCCTCATGTACTTCCTCCGGGGCTTCCTCCAATTATGCGCTCGCTGCTCGGCTTAAGCCAGGAATGGCCTCGGGGATGGCGACGGCGATGCAGCTGCACCACACTGCAGTCAGCAAAGCGACACCGGCCGTCCACAAACTGCGGCAAAGCCTTCCAAGAAGTCCAACTATCAAACAGGCAAGCTCATCCTGACAATCACAATGTCTGACTTCTTCATTTTAATGAGGAAAACGTCAAGCCAAGGCGTCTTATCTTACATCATCTTTTCTCATTGAAATGGATGGAAGGGCCCCTCAAATCAAACAACAAAAATGTTTGGACTGTGTTTGAAAGAAGAAAATCAGCACTCTCTAATACTGTACTTACGAAAAACAGATATTAATCAACCAAATGAACAGAATTTTTTACTTTGGTTGAGATGGACATTGTGATGCTCCTTCTGGTGTGTCCAGCTTGGCCACCTGAGGGCAGTACAAGGCGGCCATACGGACAAAGAAAGGTGGCCAGTCTTCCATAAGCCACTCAATATTAATTGTTCTTTGCAGGGGATAAAGAACATAAGCCTGCGAAATATTCCTTTAGGGCTGGAACTATCATCTTTTTAGAAACGATTATTTTAGTTGTACCAGGTGTGTCAAACTCATTTTTGTCGCGGGCCACATTGTAGTTATGGTTTCCCTTGGAGACCAGTTATGAATTTTTGGCGGGCCACATCTGGCCCCCGGGCCTTGACTTTGACACCAATGACTTTTATTATTGATTAAGTGAATAAGCAGATTTTGCATTAAAGGGCATTACAAACCCATCTTTTTAACCAATCATTGTTTATTTGGTATTTAATGACTTAAAAAAATGAAACAATTAAGCAATAGCACACAAGAGGGATTAATGTGCTCACCAAACTTTTTGAAACCGATTACAGGTTTGGTCGCGTTACTTTCCAGCTTGAAGTAAAAAGCAACCATTTGCAAATGTCCTACTTTGATTAAATACAAAAGATGATCCGTCTGCTTTCATGAAGGGCGACAGAAATCAGACAATAATGACTGTTGATAAGTTGTTGATTAATTTTGACACCTCTACTTGTGAATGTTATTGTCCAACATCTGCCTATATGCGATGCGCCAAGCGTTTATGTTCAAACATCTGTTGCTGAGGGGCTTAGTTATCTCACTGCAACACTGATGCCATTTGTTAACCTTTCCGTGGCGTCTTGGTAAGCATCAAGGAAACAGACTAAGGCAAAGCTAAGTTTTGAAGGCCAGAGAAGAGCTCAGTTTAGTGGTGAATTTAATGTCTATTCAACTCTTTTGGGATCAGAACGAGTGGAAAACTTACAATTTAAAGTAAGGCAATTATGAACATTTTGGGGGGCATCAATTACTCACATTTTTTTGTTGTTTGCTTTTGAAGAGCTTGCTGGCTGTTGTCAAATTTTCACAAGGAATGATAAGTTATTGAAAAGGGGAAATAACCTGAAATTGTGCCGTTGGCGTCATAGTTGAACATAACCAGCACTCAAAATAAAACATAACGGACAATAAGGGAGCTCAAATGCACGAGGTGTTGCCTTCAAAGGCCACTGATTCTCCTGGTGTCTTCAAGAGCTCGCCACAAAACTCCGCCAAGGAACGCCCGGATGCAAATTTGTAAAGTGAATCAGAAGACGCTTTGTCAGGGCTGCTCTACTTCTATTCAAGACAGAAAGAACCAGACTTCACCCCAAGAGCTGTGGGGCTGGTGTCTCTTGTTTTTTTTTCCTTTTTTTACATACAGTAACAACTTTGAAGATGAACAAAAGGCTGAGAATACTGTTTGAAAACAAAGACAGCAAATAGGTGCGAGCGCCATGTCAAACGAATCCCAGCCATATCAGTCACTGCCAAAGTAAAAGCAAGGTGAATTCAAGAATGAAATTGAAGAGTTGATCATCAGACTCTGACGCAGAGGCCGTTGAAAACTTTTTACACAAAGTCGCGCTTACAAAAAAGAATCAAATAAAATAACTCTGATGGCCAGCATAATGTGAAACATTAAAAGACGGTACCGGCCAGAAAACGAGACAGAGGTTCCATTCATAAAAAGTATATTCGATATATGGTTTTGTAAGCCACCATAACATGATGCATGTTATGAATATTTGTGTTGCGATTAAAAACAGTGGTACCTCTACATACGAAATTAGTTGGTTCTGGAAGAAATTTCTTCACTAGAAATTTTGTAAGTAGAGACACGTTTTCAATGTAAATGCCCTAATTCGTTCCAAGCACCCTCAAAATTCAGACAAAAATGTTTCCGAAAGCATAAAAATTCATCAAAATATGTAACAAATACATGTGACAATTAGATCATTGCACAATAAACAAGACTTTTGCATCATGTAAAAAACAAAGAATAGAGTCAAGAATACAAATTGTGGTCATTTAACTTTTAGCTGCGACC